TTTTTTGTGTTAAGTCTTTAAATTGGTGTATACTTCATATTATGACATATTTGAGTTTGGACTAGCCCCATTTCAAATGCTTATTAGCAAGTTTAGAGATTTATGTACAGTTTAACTGCCTTAAAGATATTTGTGAATTTAAATTTGGATAGTGGGCTACTAGATTTTTTATTTTTTTGAGGCAGAGTCTCACTGTGTCGCCCAGGCTGGAGTGCAGAAGCGTGACCTCCGCTCACTTCAACTCCTGGGTTCAAGTGATTTCTCCTCCTGAGTTCATGCGATTCTCCTGCCTCGGCCTCCCAAGTAGCTGGGATTACAGGTGCCAGCCACCACACCCAGCTGATTTTTCTGTATTTTTATTACAAATGGAGTTTCACCATGTTGGTCAGGCTGGTCTCGAACTCCGCACCTCAAATTACCCGCGTGCTTCAGCCTCCCAAAGTGCTGGGATGACAGGCGTGAGCCACCATGCAGGCCACTAGATTTTCTTGTGTGAATGGCACACACGAAATAATTGACCTAGAGCTACTTCTGAGATTAGTCATTCACTGCGATTAGTTACAACTTTCTGCAAATCACGTATCCTGGAATCTTTTGGGGTGGGTGGGGACGGGTTTCTTGCTGATTGTCTTTACTTCCTCACCTCTCCTGAGATTACCAGCATTCTAATGAATAGCAACGTTGAGATACCTGCCTCATGCCTAACAAGTATAATTTATCTCCATAGTCTCAAGTATTTGCTTTTGTTTTAAAATGTTTGTTATAGAGAAATGGACCTTTGAATTCTGCTGCACTTTCCTATAACGCAGTGCAGTAACCTGTTTTTCCGTATTTATAGCTATCCTTAGAGTTAGGGAAAATGTCATTGAATAGTAACTGAGGAGGAGGCCACTAAAACCTGAGGGAATAAAATGGTAAGAAAGCTCCTCTGTCCCTTCATGTGGGTGATGGGAAAAAGTAGGTTTGAGATCTTCCAATGGGCTGGTGACTGCGATAGTCCTTTTAAAGAGTCAGAAGCCCGTGTGGTGTCTCACCTCTGTAATCCCAGCACTTCGGGGGGCCAGGGCAGGCGGATCATGAGGTCAGGAGTTTGAGACCAGCCTGACCAACATGGTGAAGCCCCGTCTCTACTAAAAATATAAAAATTAGCCGGGTGTGGTGGCAGGTACCTGTAATCCCAGCTACTCAGGAGGCTGAGGTAGGAGAATTGCTTGAACCCGGGTGGCAAAGGTTGCAGTGAGCCGAGATCACGCCACTGCACTCCAGCCGGGGTGACCACGTAGACTCCGTCTCAAACAAACAAAAAAGTCACATGGTGCGTTAGTTCTGCTGTGGATATTAAGAGACCACCACCAAAGCAAGGCTCAGTTGCCCAGGTGAGCTGATGTGCTGGGGTCTAATGGGGCGGCGCCTGTGTGCCCCGTGTGGGAGAGGAAGAGTTAAGTGGTTCTGTGTGGGATTAGCCTGGTGTGGGTGGGTGCCAGATACCCTGGGCTGAGGGCATTCAGTGAGGACATTAAAAGCCTGTTATGCTGGTGTTGCTAAAAGTTTATTTGTTGAAGAGGCTGGTGGCCTAGATCCTGGCAAGGTTTTGAAAATGTTACAGTGAAGCAGTTCGCGTGATGTTGAGTGTCTGAGCTCATTTTGCATCTTTTGACTCGGATTCTCTCTTGCTTTGTGTTAATTAATGTGGAAAAACGTTCCGGAAGTTAATTTCAAATCAGAACTTTGTTTTCAGTTAAAAATTGTCCATGATAGGTCATTGGATGTGAATACAAGGAGAAAAAACAATGTCCAGTGATAGCTTTTGTAAAATTCTGAGTGAATCCTATGTCTTTTTGAGGATTAAACATTTGTCGTTGAAGTTGCCTCATTTAAATAGCTTTTTGGGGGACATGATTTGGATTGGTAGCATAATTCTAATTTGATTTGATGTATAAGATACAAATCTTTATGTGAAAGTATATGACATCTTAAAGTGGTATTTTACAGAGTGATTTTCCAAAAGATTTATGTAGATCAGGTCTGTCATTTCCAAGTGAAGTGAAACCTTTATTAATTAACTGTGAAGTTCCTGTGGGCTTCCAAAATCGCCAACATGTATAATTAATTCAAAACCAGACTTTCAGACTTCTTTGTGAAAAGTGGTTGCTTTTTGAAAACTTGACCTTTCTGTTGTTTCAATGGTCTGTTTATTCTTTTCAGAGTTAAAAAGGTCATTTTCAGGTTTAGAGAATTTTCCACGTAAATTTTGGGATCTGCACGCTGGGGTGATTTTTTTTTTTCTGTATATTTATTTGTTAGGATGCTTTTCGTGTCGTTGGGTTTAAATGAACACAGACACTGCATTGTCATTGCTGCCTTTGTGTGTCACAAATCTACCTGCTTCATTTGGCCTTGGTCAGTTTCACATCAAGAGTAGTGACTGATGTGACTAAGTAAATATGTTTATTTTGTGCTGGCGCTGGCCGGAAAGTCTGCCGCAGCAGCTGAAGGGTGTGCGTTTTTTTTTTTTTAAACTCCTGCTGGGTGAACCATCACTGTGACAGGTAAATGGAATTCCTCAATAAAGCTTGAATTCCAACCCCCTTCATTTCTTCAGAGCTGTTGAATGTAAGGATTGTCTTGCCTGGAACCCTATTGATTAGGTCACGGCGTGGTCTGCAGAAAACAGAGCTGCCCTGGGGCCATCTCACTGCAGGGGATTTGCTAAAGCCCCTGTGAAAGGGCCCCGTGGGGTCTCTCGATTACCTTATGAACAGGAATCCGTTCAGGGAGCAGATACATATTAAGGACCTATCGACTTCTGCGGGCTTCTCTTTGAGTTGAAAAGCACTGGCGACCGAAGGAATAATGAAAGGAAATTATTGCCAAAGCCACGAGGTGCATCTTGCCCTGTCTCTGTGGGTGCGTTTGTTGAGTTGCAAATGTGTTTCCTGCTGGGCATCTGCTTAGCTTTAGAAGTCCCACTTAAGGTCATGAAAAGTGAATTGGGAAATGATTACATAGTGTTGGCTTTTTTCTTGAGGCTTTGAGACTTTCCTTAGCTTTTGGACAGAATTAGTGAGCTCCCCTCATTAAAAAATTGATCTTTATTTCCAATAGAAAAGCAGTATATGGTCGTGAGAGAGGCCTGGGAAAATGTAGAGTACGGTAAAGGAGAAAGCACGACGGGCATCTGCTGCTGAGAACACTGGTGAACTGCTTCCCTCACTCGTGTGTGCACACACAAACACACTTTCCCAGTTCCGGGCACTGGATTTACAGAAACGGTGAACATAAAACATATACCGAACGTGTTATTTTGTTCACTGCTTTTGGATATATCCAGAACATTTTCTGGTTGGTAAGTATTCTTAAAGAATACGACTTTTAGTAATATGGGCTGCCAGCGCAGAGGCAGACTAATAGAAATTGAGCATCTTTATCTGAAATACTTGGGACCAGAAATGTTTGGGATTTCTTTGGATTTTGTGAGATTTGCATTATCCCAGTTGAGCATCCGGAATCCAGAAATCTGAAATCCACAGTGTCCAGTGCATCGTGTTGGTGCTCAAAAGTTTTCAGATTTTGGAGCATTTCAGATTTTTCGATTTGGGACACTCACCCTGTTTGTATAGTAATACTCACTTTTTGAACATTTAAGTTCCTTGTTTGTGTGTATCTCTGTTGCCTTAGCATAAATAACAGCAGTGAAATTGCTGGGTGAAAGCTAATGAAATTCTTAAGAACTCTTTTTTGTTAATGAGAAATAAACACCCCGTCAGCAGTTTGTGAGTGCCCATTTCTCCGCATTCTTGCTGCCACTGAATATTTGGATTTAGAAACGAAAACCAAAATGATGGCAGATTTGTAAGTGAAAAGTACTGCTCAGTCGGGGAACTGTCATAACTGAAACAGTGGTTGTTAGTTTTCTGGCTGTAGTTCTGGTTGTGTGTTTAAAAATTCTGGTTTTTATAAACCAGCTTTTCGGGATCATAGTCTCTGATTTAACTTGCTTTTTCTAGATCTTTGTCCCCATTGCATATTGAGGCTTATTTCTTTACAGTAATTATTGTTATTATTATTTTTTATTATTTTTTGAGACGGAGTTTCGCTCTTGTTACCCAGGCTGGAGTGCAATGGTGCGATCTCGGCTCACCACAACCGCCGCCTCCTGGGTTCAGGCAATTCTCCTGCCTCAGCCTCCCGAGTAGCTGGGATTACAGGCACGCGCCACCATGCCCAGCTCATTTTTTGTATTTTTAGTAAAGATGGGGTTTCACCATGTTGACCAGGATGGTCTCGATCTCTTGACCTTGTGATCCACCTGCCTCGGCCTCCCACGGTAATTGTTTTGTTAAAAAGTGTCTCTTGTATGCCAGGTAAGGTTAATGGGGGATGTACAGACTGTAAAATGTGCTTTCACTTTTCATTTCATTGGCTAGACACTGCTTACTCCATAAAATCGTAAATAGTTGAATTTTTGTTTTGGCTGCTATCAGGCTTGTCAAATTAAAAAATGTAATTTTGCTGTAGAAACCAAGTATGTAAGTTCTCCCTTCCTTCCCAAGTGTCCCTATGAATTAATTCACTCACCTGTGTCCATGGTTAGTGTGTGATCAGCAGTGTAGTGATTGGAGCCAAACAGACAGACTGTTTTATGGGATTGTCTGAGAACAGGTTATCAAGGATGTGACAGGCAATAAACAGTTCCTTGCAGCTATTAATTAGGATGTTAAGAACTTGGAAGAGAGTACGAGGCAGATAAAAGGCATAGGGTTCGTGCGCAATGCAGTTGGGAAAAGAACAATTTAAAAAAACAAAGTGTTACGTAAACAGGTTTAAAGTTGGTCAGTTTAGGCAATAGATTCAAGAATTAAATATTAAAATGAGATTTGTAATTGAGGCAAAGGGTATGTTTCAGCAGATGAGGCCCAGATGTTACGAGATTACTGTATTGATTTAATTATGCTGAGGTGATTTCATTGAGCCCTTGGAAAAAAGAACACGCATTCAAATATTGACAGATATTTTATTCCTCATTAGTTTCATGTTGTGTACTTACATAATTCTGGTAGCTCATGAAAACTGCAGTGTAGAGTCTGTGATTACCAATAAAATGGTGAATGTGGAGGAAGAATGCAGGGGAAAAAAAATCCCTGCATGTTTTCTTCACAATTTGGGGGTAGGGGGATGAAAATTCACAAATAATTACGGTGCACAAGCTTTCTGCCTTCCTGCACCATGGGGACTCATTCTAAAGGCCACAGTACCAAATGGATGCCTCTTTAATCATCTGGAAGCAGAAATCCGTTATTTTTCTAAGCCACACAGTAGTTGTCTGTTTCAATGGAACAGTTGGTTGGTTACAGCTTTTCAGGCCTTTATTTGCTTACTGCCCATAGATATTCGAGTTCCAGCTTCCAGGACTGTCATAAGTGAGTCAGAATCAAAGAATGTGGAGTAGGAATCTGAGGTTGATCAATTTGCTTTGGTGTAGAGAGTTTCACAGAGGGAAGGTGTATTTCTTTATGGCAGATTCTCACAACCGGTGTGCTTACAGCTTGCTGGCCGCTTAGAGACGGACGGACTCGTCCACAAATGCATAACGTTATGGGCAGCCTCCCAAATAGAATAAAGCTCAGGACCTGCCAGGATTCCCTTTTTTAGTAGAGAGAACAGTGCTCACCTCAGTCTCTTACAGATGTCTTAACTGTCTTTTACAGTAACCAAGTGTATGTTGGTGTTATAGAAATCAGAGTTACGTTTTAATTGTAGAATATCACATACAGAAAGCGTTATGCAGGTTGAAAATAACCAGTGGCTAAGTGCTTCGAGGAGTTAAAGGAACCTTTGAGATACAGTCAGAGGAAAAGTTAAGTAGCATCAAAAAATACCGACTGCACAGTCTTTACCCAAGGAGTGTGATCAGAAACACTAAAGCAGTCCCAGGCCATCTATGCTGGTTCAAAGATCTGCTGTGACTTTTAGAAAATCTTAGTGAAGATGTTTCAGTTGAGGTGGGAATTTTTAGCCGCCTTGTATTTTACGGTCTCACTGGAAGACGGGAGTTTGGCTGAGTTGCTGTCATTGAAGTGGTCGTTTGACGTTCCCTGCAGTTCTGTGTACACTCAGCTGTTTGAAATTGTATTTAAGGACACAGAAATGCTTCGTTACAGCTTATTCATTCATGAAATGCCAGGCTTCTTCCTCGCCCTGTGAGAAGCGCCTCTGCCCCTGTGGAATGCGTTGTTTCATCTCGGTTTCGTGCCCTTGGAGTGCCCTTCCTGTCGTGAAAGAAAGGTGAGGTGAATCAAAGGAACGCCAGATAAGGCAGGAATGTGCGCTCCTGGTTACTCCTCTGTCATTCCAGCTTTGAGACCAGGGCTGGATACTTTACCTTTCTTGCCCGAGGGGTTAGCGAGGGCACTGGCTGACTTTCTTCCTCTAGGTAAGGTTTCATGCACAAATGGGACTTGCCTGCTTACTTCCTGAATTCATGACTTCCTCGCGGGCGTAAAAGGAGTTGCCAAAACAATAAGCGATGGACGTTTGCAGTTAGTCAAAACTAAACACAGAACAGCGGATGAAAGCCACGCCTCCTCTGTTTGATGTGTGCACCCTATCGAGAGGTTACCCTTTTTGTTTACATTTGCTAAATTAAAGAAAAAAATTGTTACCTGTTTGTATTATGTGTCTGAAAGTATCCCACTGTGCTGCCTTAATACCGGTGGGGTAAAGGGAGTTGGGCTTTCTTTTCCCCCTTGTTATCCCCAAAGTTAGTTATCAACGTACAGTCATTTACTTGTGATAGGAATGTTAGTTGCTTTGGAAAATACAGGACAATCATTTAAAGTTTCTGGGCCGGGTGTGGTGGCTCACGCTTGTAATCCCAGCACTTTGAGAGGCCAAGGTATGTGGATCATGAGGTCAGGAGTTCAAGACCAGCCTGGCCAATGTGGTGAAACTCCGTCTCTACTAAAGATACAAAAAATTAGCCGGGCGTGGAGGCTGGTGTCTGTAACCTCAGCTACTCGGAAGGATGAGGCAGGAGAATCGCTTGAACCTGGGAGGATGAGGTTGCAATGAGCTGAGATTGCGCCACTACACTCCAGCCTAGGTGACGGGGAGACTCCATCTCAGAAAAGGGAAGAAAAGCAATGGTTACCCTGTTTGTATTATGTGTCTGAGAGTGTTTCACTGTGCGCCTCAGTACTGCTGGGGTGAAGGGAGTTTGGGTCTTTTTGTTTCTTTTTCCTGTTATCCCCAAAGTTAGTGATTAAGAGACAGTCATTCACTTGTGAGAGGAATGTTGGATGATTTGGAAAATACGTGGTAATTATTTAAAGTTTCCTAAAGAAATGCATAGCTTTTCATTCTTTTGAAAATGGGCTAAGCGTCAGTGCACAAGTCATGTTCAGGTGTGGGAGGCAGGTGCATCCCAGGGATTAGCGCAGTTCACGGCTCTAATAAGTCTCCTATGAGAGCCGGCAGGAAATTGGCAAGAGTGATTCACCCCCTCGCAGCTACCGGACATCCTGGCCTTTCTAAAGCATTGACTTCCCAGGGTCCGGCACGGCAGCACTCATGTAACGGTGCAGTGGATCCTTCATCTGGGATTGGATATAGTTATAATTGGAGACGAGATTCACTCTAGATGAGACATGAAAAAATAAGAGAATGTAGTTTAGTATTGTCAGATATGCATTGTTCATCATGACCTAATTGAGTGGGTAGTTAAGGCTCCCATGTAATTGAAGAATTTCTCACAGATTTAATACATTCTTCGGTAAACAAGAGAAATCCTGGCTTATTTTCTTAAGAAGGTAAGCATATGTTTCTAGTTCTTTTTTTTTTTTGAGACAGAGTTTTGCTCTTGTTACCCAGGCTGGAGTGCAATGGTGCGATCTCGGCTCACCGCAACCTCCGCCTCCTGGGTTCAGGCAATTCTCCTGCCTCAGCCTCCTGAGTAGCTGGGATTACAGGCACGCGCCACCATGCCCAGCTAATTTTTGTATTTTTAGTAGAGGTGGGGTTTCACCTTGTTGACCAGGATGGTCTCGATCTCTTGACCTCTTGATCCACCCACCTCGGCCTCCCAGAGTGCTGGGATTATAGGCGTGAGCCACCGCGCCCGGCCTCTCGTTCTATCTGAACTGTTAATTTACGTATTCAGTTTTTTGCGTAAGTGAATTAGGTAGTGCCTGTGTGTTGGCTTGGTGGATTTAATGAAGCAGCACTGTTACTTTTCTGTAACTATTGAAAAATAGCTGAAAAGCTCAGTTTTGTTAAATATTAGGTGCAATATTCTGTGAATAAAAAAAATTCCCTCTGAAGATTTTTGGAGGGGTCACTGAGTGAATTTAGCCACTTTTACGATTTTCGTAGGGATCTCTGATACCTGAGAGTTTTAGTAACTCCAGAGATAGTAGAATGAAGCTGTCCATTCTGGTGGTCCTTGGTGGGCCCGTGACCATGGGGAGAAGTCGTTGGACTAGTGTAGGAGGAGCTGTGGAGAAATGAGAGTGGGAGGGAGAAGAATGGCACATGTACCTGCTCCAAGGGACAAGGCTTAGGAGAGATCGCCAGTGGCCTTTGAAAGCGAAACTTTAGGAGAATTTCAAAGAGGCAAGATTTCAGAGGGTGAAAGGCAGCTTCGGGGAATGCCCTTGGCATTCACTCACTTGGCAGTTGTTCGACATTTATTGACCGCCTCTAGAATGCTCAGACCTGCTCTAGGTGCCCAGGACTCCACAGTTTGCAAGGTAGATGGTGCTGTGCCCTGCCTGGAGCCTTCCTTCTGGAGAGAGGAGACATGAGGCAGGGTGGAGACGAGGAGAAAGGCACACCCAGTTTCAGCTGAGCCGTGCTGTGAAGGAAGCCAGGGCAATGTGCTAGTGGATTTTTTCAGGGTGTGCATGGCCTCCTTGGGTGGAGTGGCCACCTGGATGACAAGAACAAACAGCCAACTATTGGAAGGCCATTTTTAATCAGGGAGAGTAACAGTGGCCGCGAAACACAAGCTTGCCTGTGGCAGAAGGTCTGAGATGAGGTAGGTAAGGTGGGCGCTGGCCAGGACACGAAGCTGTGGGCTGTGGCTGAAGGTGAATGGTGGGAACACCAGGGCAGTCAGTCCAGGGCACCTTACACAGGAGTGACCCTGCCTTAACCTTGTGGGGGGACGGGGGACTCTCTGTTTTGTGGCACACGCTCTTCTTTTTTCCTGCCGCTGACCGTCCTGCTGTCCCGGAGTCCCATTGCTAGTTTTTATCCCCGTCCAAGCTTTCTGCCTGGTTCCCCCCTGGAGCCCTCAGTGATGTTTGTCATCAGTGATGACAAGGAGGAAAGAAGGAAGATGTTCCTCTGACTGTCGTGCTGCTCCTGTCAGTGTCCCCGTCCTGCCACACCACTGTCCTCTTTGCTGACAGACTTTTCTTTTGGATGGAAACCCTTGTAACAGGATTGCTGTTGTAACGACGTTAGAAAGAAATCTTGAAAAGCAGTGTTTTCTTTCAGGAGTATGTTTTTATTTCCAAAGAGTCTGTCTTCACGCATGCGCTTCACAAGAAAATCGTTTAGAAGTGTTTACAACTTTTAGCAATTCAGAAGATGAGGAATAATATTTTGAAAGAAATCTTAGGAGGCGTCTGATTTATATTCCTGAATCTGGGTGGGAACCTAGGTTTTCTTTCTAGCCGTTACGTAAGGAGATCATCCAATGTCCCTTATCTCCTCTATGTGACAACTAATAATTTTATATATTTGGTGACTGAGGACAAACTATTATGCTTTCCTTTTATTTTGGTGATCGTGACATATTCTAACAGTGACTTCTGTTCAGCTTGGTTAGTCTGCACTTGTAAATCTGTAACCACGTCTGAAAAACTAGTTGTGACAAAACGTGATGTAAATAAGAGGGGCCGGGTGTGGTGGCTCAAGCCTGTAATCCCAGCACTTTGGGAGGCCGAGGCGGGTGGATCACGAGGTCAAGAGATCGAGACCAACAGGAGGTCAACATGGTGAAACCCCGTCTCTACTAAAAATAGGAAAAATTAGCTGGGCACGGTGGCACGTGCCTGTCATCCCAGCTACTCAGGAGGCTGAGGCAGGAGAATTGCCTGAACCCAGGAGGCGGAGGTTGCGGTGAGCCGAGATTGCGCCATTGCACTCCAGCCTGGGTAACAAGAGCAAAACTCCGTCTCAAAAAAAAGAGAAAATAAGAGGGGAAAGGTAGTCATGGGGGCAAAGTTGGACTAATGTTCCTTTCTCTGTCCTGGACATTTCTGATTTGATTTTTCCTAGATTATATTTTCATTTCGTATTAAACTTTGAAATGTTTCATAAAAGTAGGTCTTCATTTTGGGCTTGAGGGAAGGTTTATGGCAGACCTCACTGCCGCTTCCACGGTATTGATGCAGCCTGTGCACATTAAACGCTTTTTATCCTGTCGACTGAAGTAACTCGTTATGTGTCTCAGTGAAGAACGTCGCCACAGTATTCTGAATTTCCTTTGTGCTGCACGTGTGTATGTCACTGGAGAGCACTGCTAAGGCCAGTGCCTTGTCTTTATACGTAACGGTCACTGGTCTTTGCTCTGAGTGAGTCTAAGTTCTGTTCTGAACACTGCCTTTTATAATAACGTGGTTTCTGTTTCTGCTTGAATAAGAGCATCCTTGTAAATACAGAGCTTAGGGATTAAGGTGTCTTTCCTCTTTTTTGTTTCTTTTTCTTTTTGCTTAGAGATGTAGTCTCGCTCTGTCGCCCAGGATGGAGTGCAGTGGCTCGATCTCGGCTCACTGCAACCTCCACCTCCTGGGTTCAAGTGATTCTTCTGCCTCAGCCTCCTGAGTAGCTGGGACTACAGGTGCCTGCCACCCCGCGCAGCTGATTGTTTGCATTTTTAGTAGAGACGCGGTTTCCCTGTTAGCTGGGATGGTCTCAATCTCCTGACCTTGTGATCTGCCTGCCCTGGCCTCCTGAAGTGCCGGGATTTCAGACGTGAGCTACTGTGCCCGGCCTAGGTGTTATACCTCTTTAAGAATCTTTCTAAATCTTGGTTTTGCTTTAGTTTCTCAAACATCAAAATAGACTATAGATTAAATACCTTTATTGTTATAATAATTCTTATAACCCATAGCTGCACTTTTAGGCCAGAGGAATAATTTAGATATGAATAGTAAATACAGAGAGGGGTAATAAGTTGCTGAAGTCACATATTTATTAAAGTGCTGAGTCGGGACAGTTAACAGGCATGCTCTAAGGATGATTGATGATTCTGCACGAAGACCATTACTTTGAAGTAACAGACTTTGAGAATAAACCTATATTCCCTCTCGTTTCCCTCTCCAGCTCTGAGATAATTCAGTAATACTCTTGACTAGTGATTTGGATGTGTGACTGAGTCAGTCACTGATACCTTGGTAAGGTAGGGCTGATTTGTTTTTTAGCTTTCTTAGAATTTTGTTGGCATATCATTGACTTTGAGATTGTATCATTGACTCTTGGTTTTCCTAATGTGAGTCATTTCCCTCACCAATCAGAGGAACTGATCTCAGTCCTGTGA